CTGTAAAAATGTATAAATTAAGCAAATATAAATGTAGTGTAAGTTTCTTAAATAGCTGACTAATTTTACATGAATATTTACTTACAGATTCAATATCGCTGCCTTTAGATGAAACTGTGAATATCATTATGCGATTCTAAAATATTTAACTGTTCTTCTTCGTCTAGCATTATCGATAGCTCCAGCACTAAAAATGCAAATAAGTATCGCGTGTTATCACGGTGACGGCGCCACAGTAATTGACAATTTATTGATTCAAATTGGATCGTACGACAACGGACGCTGGTGTTGATTAAACTTGTTTTCAATTCTGGAGTAGTTCTTCCGGGTAGGTGTATTTATAGGTGTTCCTCAGGGCTCATTTCTTGTCCGTTCCTGTTCTTCATCATCATCATTCATCATTACAGCCCTTCACAAGTCCACTGCTGAACATAGGCCTCCCCCAAAGAATGCCACAAAGCACGGTCCTGAGCCACCTCCATCCATCGACTTCCTGCATATCTTACCAGGTCGTCACTCCATCTAGTGGGGGGACGCCCTACACTTCGCCTGCCGGTACGAGGCTGCCACTCGAGAACCTTTCTTCCCCATCGGTTGTCGGTTCTTCGAGCTATATGGCCGGCCCATTGCCACTTCAGCTTACTAATCCGTTGGGCTATGTCGGTCACTCTAGTTCTACTGCGGATATCCTCATTTCTGAGTTTATCACGCAGAGAAACTCCGAGCATAGCCCTCTCCATAGCTCGCTGAGCGACCTTGAGCTTCCTCATCCGGCCAGCAGTGAAGGACCACGTCTCAGTTCCATATGTCATCACTGGCAACACGCACTGGGTATACAGTCTCGTTTTCAAGTTTTGAGCTATACCTGACGAGAAGATGTGCCGTAATTTCCCGAACGCTGCCCAACCGAGTTGAATCCGTCGATTGACTTCTCGGTCGAAGTTGGACTTACCTAGTCGGACTATTTGTCCCAGGTAAACATACCCGTCAACAACTTCGAGCTTAGTGTTCCCAACAACTACCGGCATAGGTGTGACATGGACATTAAACATGATCTTTGTTTTGTCCATGTTCATCTTAAGACCTATCCGTTGGGAAACACTATTGAGGTCATTGAGCATAGTGCTTAGGTCCTCCAGCGATTCTGCCATAAGGACTATATCGTCGGCAAATCGAAGGTGAGTGATGTACTCGCCATTGATGTTGATACCGTATCCTTTCCAGTCCAGAAGCTTGAAAACATCTTCCAATGCAGCGGTAAAGAGTTTCGGGGATATGACGTCACCCTGTCTTACACCTCTCTGCAATTGGATAGGTTTCGTACTCTGGTTCTGTACTCGGATAGCCATCGTAGCCCTACTGTACAAGCACTTCAACACTTCGATATACCGACAGTCAACTTGGCATCGCTGAAGGGACTGCAGCACCGCCCAAATTTCGACGGAATCAAAGGCTTTCTCATAGTCCACATACGCCAGACATAGTGGCAAATTGTACTCCTCGGACTTCTGTACAATTTGCCGAAGGGTATGTATGTGGTCTATGGTGCTAAAGCCTTTTCGGAAACCGGCTTGTTCGGGAGGCTGGAAGTCGTCAAGTCTGCGCGCGAGACGATTCGTAATGACTCTCGAAAACAGCACGTAGACGCGGCTCAGAAGGGAAATCGGTCTGTAGTTCTTCAAGAGAGCGTTGTCGCCTTTCTTGAAGAACAAGACCACCGCACTTCTGCTCCACGCTTTCGGTGTAATGCCACCATGGAGGACGGAATTAAAGAGCTTCTGAAGGACTTCAAGTACCGGTTTTCCACTCGCTTTCGGAAGCTCCGCTGTAATTCCATCCTCGCCTGGGGCCTGGAGAGCCATTCTAATCTCGCTCAGACTGACGTCCGGGATATCATCGGAATAATGTCGGATAAGACTAGCTCTTGGATCGTTACTCACACTTGCATGCGGCTCCAACGATGACGTGTACAGCTGCCCATAGAACCTCTCAATCTCACTCAAAATCTCAGGTGCCCCGGAAACGATGCTGCCACACTCGGTCTTCAGCTTTGACATTTGGCTCTTTCTGGCAGACAGATCTCTGGCAAAGACTTTGGAGCCTTGGTTCCGCTCGATCGCTTCTTCAATACGAGCTGTATTGAAGTTGCGTAAGTCCCGCCGCATGCATTCTGTCTGTTCAGTTGCCTGTATGCTGTTAAATCTGTTGAAGAATGTAGCTTCATCTCCCGTCTAACAGCCATGAGATTAAGAGTGTGATCGGAGAGTTTTTGTGTTCTTCTGCGGCGGGTCTTGCAGAACTTAGCTCCGACCGCATGGACAGTTTCCACGAGCTTGTCATTCAAATCGTCCACTTCATTGCAGTCTTCTAGGCACTGAAAACGGTTTTGTAACTCGAGCTGAAAGGTTTCGGGACTTTGGAACAGAGCACGAGGGGGACGGAGCGTTGACTTCATTAGACGAGACCTCTCCAACTTAACGTTTAGGTTCAGTGTGCCTCTAACCATTCGGTGATCGCTGCCGGTTTTCACCCTCGCGATCACTGAGACATCACTGAACAGTTGTCGTCTGGTCGTCATAATGAAGTCAATCTCATTTTTTGTCGAACCGTCGGGGCTCGACCAGGTCCACTTCCTGTGGGGCCGCTTCTGGAAGAAAGAGTTCATCATAAAGAGTCCCTCTTTCTCCATGAAGTCGGCCAGCTGCTGGCCCCTTGGGTTCCGTTGCCCAATTCCAAATTTCCCCACTTTCAGCTCACCGTTCTCTCTTGTGCCTAGTTTTGCATTGAAGTCTCCCATTAACACCGTATATTGGGTTTTGGAGGAATGCATGGCTCTAGAGATATCCTCATATATTTCCTCCACCTCCTTATCGGGGTGTGCCGAGGTTGGCGCGTAAACCTGTATGACCTTCAGCGAATACCGTTTGGTGATTCTGAGTATAAGGTACGCAACCCTCGTCGACACACTCTCAATCTTTACAACGTTGTTTACGAGAGACTTGTGGACGATAAATCCGACACCTCCTTGGGACAGATGGTCGCCCTCCCGGTAATAGAGCAAGTTGCCGGATTCGAGGATTACCGTGTCCTCCCCCTCTCTTCGGACTTCGGATAATCCTATAATATGCCAGCGTAACTTGTCTATCTCTTCTTCCAGCTCCACAATCTTCTCGTCAGTCCTCAGGGTGCGTGCGTTGTATGTTGCCAGGTCGAGTCGTCGTAGGTGGCAACCGAACCTCCACCGGAGATTCTTAGCACCCCCTGCCCCGCCGTTACCATGGTCGCCACCGTAGCCAGGAATAGCGGGGCCGCCGGGGACTGGGGGCCGTCTCTTCGTAACTTTCATCATGGGGGGTATATTGCCATAGTTGCTACGCTTGGCGAGCGGGTTGGCAACCGCAGTTTTTTATTGTATTTTTGCAGTTACCAGGAAGATGCTGCTGCCCATCTCCTGCCCGTTTCCCTTTGTCGCCTTTTACGACACCCACGGGAAGATATGGGGTAGTGGATATTCTTAACCGCCACTACACGGCACCTCCTGTTCCTGTTCTTAGTTTATAATAATGATTTACCCTACTTGGTAGGGAATAACCTTAATCATAATATTGTATTGTAGCTCCTCGATCTATTATTATTTAGACTGGTAGGTTCACTCGTGTCATATGTGTTAAAAATACTAATAGTGGATCAACTCCTTTGTTATACCGCAAAATACCTACAAGGCTGTCTCGACATCTAGTCGCTAAAAATATGCAAGTGTTGTCACAAAAACATTTCCTTACATAATAATATCATAACTTTATATTTAATGTATATTCCTCGTAATGATTTATTTTTTATACAATGATAGAAGCTGATTACCCACCTACTTTACAAAACTCGTTGTGTCCCGCAGTTTCACCTGATTCGTCGTGACGGAAACGAAGGCATGTGCTTATGCATGTAGGTACCTACCTAATTTTACTATATTTTACCTATATAGCAGTATCTCAGGTATTCCGCTTAAAATATTGAATAGGGGGTTGAAGAGAATAAATAAAATAGGTTAAAATTATACGTTGGTTCTGTTTATTAAACGCACGCCGCCTCGTTACTGATGTTTAACCGACAAATATTTACATTTATTGTTGGGTTTTCAATTCTTTTGAAAAATTCTTTGAAAGTAATCACATGGTTGTAAGAATTCAATTTTACTTAAAGCGTCATACAATATTTTCAAACAAGTTAATAAAATAATAAAAATAGTACCGAGTAATATCATGTTGTTGGGTGAACATCAAACGAGTACAACTGACACGAGTACGTGACACTCCTAAATAGGTGACCGGTACGCTAGGGATGCCGATCGGTACTACCGCAGACGTCGCGGACAAGGAGGACTCCGTTCTCTTTCATACCGCGCCCCATCGTAGGTCTAGTCGCCCAGTTGACTCAATATTAGTATTTATTACACATGCCCGTGTACCGAATCGATACATTGATGGCGCGTAAACTCGATTAACATCGTTATATAAAGTACGCGCTATATGGCGCTGTAGGTAGAGACAGCAATTCGCGGGTTTTTATTGGGCAGTTAATCAAGTGTCAGTGATTATAAATGTCTGAACTTGCAAGTGACCATATTTTGTTATAATTATTTACGCCTATATTACGCCTGTATCTCAGTTAATACTATTCGAATTATATTATACACTATTTTTATTACGTTTTTTCCTTTGCATAAAAATAATCAATTTTTGACAATAACACGTTTGTTCTATTATTTTGTAGCGATTATATTTTCGTTTTAAAACACCGCTACAATAATAGTTTTATTTGCTGATGACACTGTTGTGTGATGATTTTATAGAGGTAAATGTAAGTAGAAGATATACCAATCCAAAATAACTTGAACTAAGGCAAAAATAGAAGAAGACAATACTCACGTTTTAGAGGATATCATAAATCAGATATTTTAATTAAAATAAAAGCTACATATTTTAAATATTTTATTGCATATTTTACATAAACTGACTCATTGGATCCTCTTCTCGTCTCCTCTTTATCATGTAGGCTTCCATTTCCTCTTCTGTTGGAGCCTTTACTTCATACATACTGTTGTATGGACGTTTTCTTTCATCTACAGAAAGTAGATGTTCTGCTCGTTTTTGCTGTCTCTCCTCATCTTCTAAAGCCTATTTCAAAAATAAAAATAAAATGTAACAGGATTATAATAATAAAAAAAAACATGCGTGAGTGTCGTGGAACACTCGTTTGGAACGAAGTTCTTTTCGTAGTATATTATTATTGATAAACGTATTGCATTATTGATTAACAAATACAAATAAATGAACTACTAGCGTCTAATAAAATGAAGCGTCATTTAAAATAAAATAATATTTCTTTCATGGCAAGATAAGAGAAAGTGCGAGGGAGATGGATATTATTACATCTCGCTTCCTTATAGCCGCCAAGGCAGTCTACACTACCTCAGAAGGGGTTATGACGGAAAAATCTTACACTTTTTCTCGCTTAGCCCCCATCCGCCAAATTCGTACCGTCCGATAAGGAACTTCGTTCCAATAATGTCCTCCCTCCAACCGAATTTCGGTCACAGCGGCAAGTCTCAAAGGAGTTTAGCTAGCACTGTAAGACATGATTATAATGCACGAGTGTTGCGCAGGCACAGATGCATTATTTATTCTTTCACTCTCATAGTCTGACGGAACGGTAATCCAGCACGGCCACAGAAAGGCCAGCCACCCGCCAACTTCCTTACTAAGAATTTCTTAAGAGGATTGTGAAGTTGTATATTTTGATACAAAAAGCGATAGCGATAAGCCCCCCCCCCCCCCCAAACATAGCCAATTATCATAATTTTTGAAAATGTAGATATAATGGAAAACTAGGTCCGCATGTTTTAATTTTAAAGAAATGTTGTGCACGATGTAAGTTTTTAGCATCTAAATATCTATATTTATGATTTCAAAACTTCCTCAAGCGTTTTTATTTTTTAATTTAAACTAAACTGAAATACTAAAAAAAAAACGTACAGACTAGATTAAGGTGTACTGAATCTAATGAATGAGACCAAAATTGTCTCATTTCGTAAAGATTTTGGTGAAAACGTTATAGCCCGAAACAATATATAAATAATAAAGACTTGCAAGCCTCTCTATCGCACGATACGGCGATACGAAGCGAGCGGTATGAAACAGATAGCATTTTTGAAAATACCAACTCGTGCCGCGCGTATCGGCACTTCACCAATCCTCTTAATTGAAATACCCAGAATTCATAAATAAATATGTGTGCGTTTATGTATTATTTTTTAAGCCTTTCTACTTTGATTACTGCTGCACCGCCCCTTGTATGTCTATCTCTGTTTAGCCTAATGGTTGACTGGGAGAGAATGCCCTATGCCATTAAGTCAGATATATGTACAACTTTGTGCATGAAAGTTTAAACAAATAAATTATTTTAAACCTGATCCGGGGTTTCAACCAGGGACCTCATAATCAGCAGTCGCGCTTACAGCTACTAGGCCAAGGAAGTAATCAAAGGCAGGATTCTGGATGGATTTCGATAACATTTTGCACAATGATAGAGCTCGACCTGGGTAAGACATAGGATACCTTTATCCCGATCCCGGGAGATAATTTAAGATGCTAGTAAAAAATAAAGGGCCCTTTGAGCTTGGGACCAGGACATTGCTCCGCCTAGTCCTACGGTAGCTACGCCGTTGGCTGTGAGGTATTCCATCTTAATCATCAGTAATGACAACCAATCATTAGGTAACCACTTACCATCATGTGAACTGTTCGTTTTCTTAGCATTTCAATTTCATAAAAAAAAGCACAGATGATGCCTCAACCTGTGTGACAATACCTTTTTCAACTTATCTTCTGTTTTCTTTTCTTTCTTCTGCTCCTTCCTCTTCTTCTTTTTAGCCTTCTTTTTATTCTTCTTCTTTTTACTTGTCTTCTCTGTTCTCGATCTTGTGTCGGTTTCCGAATCGGATGAACTGCTGCTACTTGAGCTGGATTCTGATGATGACTTGTCTGATTTTTCTAGAAAAGAAGAAAACAGTGTGAGTTGTGCACTGTTAAACTAAAAGAATAGAAGTTGACTGACATTTAAAGAAATGGTCCGTCTCGCTGCTCGAGGGCGAGTTGACGGACTTCACCAGTTAAATTGAGCATGGTTTAGTTTCTTTGCTGGTCTAAAGTTTGTAACTCTAATGATTTCTTTTATTTACGCAAACACTACACATTTACAAAAAACTAGTTTTACGGATTTTACTTTATATTCCCGACGTTTCAAGTACTTTACAGATAAGTTAATATATGCGATAAAATCCGTAAAACTAGTTTTATTTAAATTCGTAACTCTAATTAATAAATATTTGCCTACAGGTTGAATGTAAATTAAAACAGACCTTCAGCAGTTTGAATTGTTTTGACAAATCCACCCAGGAGCCGAAATTCGGTCGTAATTCATATGTTTTTTAAGATTGTATATTAAGTTCAACTGCACATCTCTATACAGGGTTTTTTTTTTATATGATAAGGTGACAAACGAGCACACAGTCCACCTGATGGTAAGTGGTTGCTGTGGTATAGACATCTACATCTATCTTCGATTAAGAATCAAAATGCAGATGCGTTGTCACCCGTGAGGGCTAAGATGGAATGCCTCGTTCCCAGTAAAAAGGGTTTTTGCAATAACCGGCCAAATTTGCAGAGAAGTTTCAGAATAAGTAATATAAATAAACAAACGCTGAAGAAAAGTTAATTTAAAAAAATCTCAAACATTCTGTTCTTTTTATCTTTTTAATTCAAAATGCGTTGTAATTCATTATTACAACTGGTTTTACTGCGCACGCACACATTCGTAAGGGTCGATCGGTAGGCCAAAAAACCTTGTTGCCCATAAATCACATTCAATTTGGGATAATTTCAAATGAAAGTAGAAGCCTTATTTACTCGTATTTATAAAAACTGCAATAACGGTACATCATTATTTTATATTTGAGCTTAAGTTTAAAATTTGGCTACTCTTTAAAAATAACCCAGTAAAAAAATCAATTGCTGCCCGTTAAGACTCGCTAAAACCCAAAAACGGCTCGACCGATTTTGATCAATTTTTTGCGTGTGCTTGAATGGGTGGTCCCTAATATGGTTTACATTTACATTTGGACCCTGTAGGTGGCGTTGTTGGTAAGATCCAGAAATAACCCGTGCGAAGTCGGGGCGGATCAATCTATACAAATAAATAAAATTGAAGTGTCTGTTTGTAATGTCAAAATTACAGCTTTTTACTAATTGCATATGAAAGTATATACGGTACTTATAACAAAATCACAATTTTTAAAATTTTTGTCTGTCTGTCTGTTTGTTCCGGCTAACTCTAAAACGGCTGGACCTATTTTGACGGGACTTTCACTGGCAGGTAGCTGATTTCATAAAGAGTAACTTAGGCTACTTTTATTTTAGAAAAATAATTAGGGTTCCGCGCAAAAACATAAAAACCCTAACACGCGAGCGAAGTCGCGGGGAACAGCTAGTATAATATATAAAACACAGATATCTAATACACAAAATATAAAATAAACACATTTTGCCTTAACATACATCCCACAGACTATTAAAATGGAACATTTAAAATCACACAACACTCACAGATTATCCAATCTGTCAGTAAATATTTGTTGGCAAAACGACAATGAATAGGCTTGACGTACGTCACTTGGCGCACGTCATTGCTGTACGTCAGTCAAGTCTACTCATAAATACGATAAAGGGACACAGTCAAACTGACGGTAAGTGGATGTTGCGTCCCTTAGACATCTACATTTTTCCTCAATTAAGAATCAAAATGCAGATACGTTGTCACCCCTGAGGACTAAGATGGAAAGCCTCGTTTTCAGTATAAAGGGTATCAGATTCTCTACACTCATCGGATGAAATACAGCAGCATTAGGCATTATTTTTTCGCTGGTATTCTGTCAGAGCGTGGTCCTACCCCGGTCAAGCCGATCCATGATATAGATGCAGCGTGGCTCTACCACGTAATAATTAATAAATATAGCTTAAAATATAGTTTTATCAATATATTTGCAATTGAATGATAACTTTTTACTTATTTTTATTAACACCAGCTTTTGCCCGTGAATTCGTTCGCGTAGATATTATACTTTAAACCATAGTACATACCATCACAATCTGTAGAGATGATTTCTATGATCAAAACTATCTTATTTCCTTCCCTGGGACTTAAACTATCTCCATACCAAATTTTATCTAAATCGGTTCAGCGGTTCAAACTTGAAGAGGTACATTTGCTCACGCGGCGATGAGCTATGTTTTCCCCCACCTTACTCGCAGTACGCCCGACCGCCCTGCGCGCTCTGGACCGCACAATTTTATATCGTCATTACTTTTAAAATATTTGACCAAATTACGTAGTTTAAAAGTCAAAGTTTATCTACTTCGAACATCAGAAGCGATTAAAGTATTTATTTAGATAAAATCCATTTGTTACTGTAAAATGTGCAGTGGAAATAAAGTATCAAATTGTATTGTATTTATGGTTCACTATTTTAGTAATAATGGTATACACATAAAAGATGGATATATACTGTCGCGGGATTTCTTGTAGAACTATTTAGGATAAACAATTCCACCATACATTATATTTGTCTAACTCTTACAGTTTTTGCAACGCACACCAAAATAGCTCGCAGATAACAAATTTATTCCGACTTACAACATATAACACTTATCGTTATATTTTGACCAATATACACAATATCTATGTTGTTCTGATGGATGAGCTATATTATTGTAAAGTTTCATTAAAAAAACATTCAGTAGTTTTTGCATGGCAGAGTAAAAAACATCCATACATCCTCACAAACTTTCACGTTTATAATATTAGTAGGATTAGTAGGATAAATGAAATACCTTTACAGTACTATTAACCAATGCGATGCTATAACTAACCTTTGGTTAAGAAAACTATAAAGAACTGTCAACATGAATATTATAAATGATACTAATTGAACAAATTACAAATTTCAACGCATTTATATGTTAATTAATATTTTAAAAAAAGCAATATGGTTCCTCTGCAAGTTATCACGTTACATATTAACTTACCCTTCTCCTTCTTTTCTTTTACTTCCTTCTTTTCTTCCGGCACATCTAGCACAACTGACTTGCCCGCCTCACCAACGCAGTATGACATCTGCAAACAAGATATTTTTATATAACAGACTAAAATTATTCTGGTACAATGCGGCATGAACATAGCTAGAACAAGTGGTGAAATTAAAAATTTTGTACAACCGACTTCAATATAAATTATTAAGGAGAACTCAAAAACTCCTGGTCAGACCTTGATCAACTTTATATGGGTCCACATGAGAAGCACCAGCTTTCAAATAAAAAAAATCATCGAAATCGGTTCACCTAGAAAAAAGTTATGAGGTAACTTACATAAAAAACATACAGTCGAATTGAGTACCTCCTCCTTTTTTAAGTCGGTAGAAAAGGCACGGAAGCACAGAATCAAGAAAATCTAGAAAGGTTCTCGAATGACAGCCTCGTACTGACAAGAACTATACATAGCTATTGCCAGTATATTCTATGTAGGTGAATAACATATGGCTTAACATATGGCTCCAGACCTTACTTTGTGGGAATCTATGAGGGAAGCCCATTTTCAGCAGTGGCCTAGTGAACAAGATCAAAGAAGAAAGCCTGTGTCCAATGATAATAACCCCTGGAAATGTGGTGATCGCTACCAAGCTATTTCTAATTTGTTTTGTGTGGTTAATTGTGTAACATACATGTTTGTAAGCTATTATTAAAAAAAAATGTCCCACTGGGTTTCTTGGTTCTCTGGTTCTTCCCAAGACAGAGGTTTTTTTTCGAACCAGTGGTAATTAAACAAAAGCGTGACTTTCAATAAGTATTATTTATAATCTATATTGAATAAAAAAAGTTTCTGTTTCTGTTAGACAGCAAGGCTTTTCAAATAAAAACTTAAAGAACTTGCCAAGCATGGCAACTACAGCAAATATCCCACCTATGGGCAATCTGTCTAATCAGCAATGGAATTTTGATAAGATGTAACGATAACAGTATAATTTAACGAATCTAATGACTAAAAATAAACTGTAGAAAGTGACTAGTGATCCTTTAAAAAGATGAATGACATATTTTATGTGGCCGATCTGGCTATTAGTGTTTAACTGGCTGCAACTAGGTACAGCCGATTGCGGTAAGTTAAACTTATTGCATTCGATTTGTTCATGGCTAAAAGTAGATGCAGCAAGTGCCTTTCGGCTAAAACTAGGTAAGATTGCTATGATTTGTGTTAACTTAAAAATACGAAAACTTCTATAAAATAATATTAGCGACAGTAGGCCAAGGCCCAAAGCGAGCGACCATTATATATTTTATAAATTATTTGGAATTTACACAAAAAACATGATTAATTCTAAGTAAACCTAGGTTTACTATTTCTACATGCATTATCCTTGCCAACCTAAAACATAACACAAATATCCAGACAAATAAAATAAATCTATTAGTCCGGCTACCGGATAAACAAAAGAAAAAGTAATCATTCATTCAGCATATATAAATATTCGGACTAATTAGTAGTCTAATCACATTTGCACAGCTGGAACGTTATAAATAATGATAGATATAGTGTAATCCATGCCTTTATGAATGAGTGGCAACACTTGTAGCCCCACTGCCCGTCCCGCCAGTAGGATCCCCAGACTGTTGTGTGGTTATTTATTAGCACATCCTCTTCATATTTGCTCCTGGAAAAATTAAGAAATTAATTCGTCACATTGGCCACATCTTCTATATAAATAAGGTTAGAGAGTTAGTGATTTCGTCTTTTAAAGTTTAATACAAATAGCTGATATACCATAATACCAGATGCCACTTACTCGACTCCAAGGAGTCAGTAATTCATTCATAGGACAATGTATACGCTATTACACAACAAAGTCCCGGAAAATATAAAAGGTTTCTCTATTACAAATATTTATTTCTTTATTAAAGAAATTTCCAAATACTCAAACGGTGCTCAATTTTAAGATGCCGTAAGTCTCGTGCTGTCTCTATTACTAAATCAAAGTGACTGCGACACCACGAGACTTAACGACATCTTAAAATTGAGTAGAGTTTGAGTATTTAGCCAAAAGACTATAAAAAGGATTATTATAATATATATGAATACATGTTTGATAATACATAACCCCTGGGAAATAGGGAATCGAACCCAAACTGTATTTATATGAATGTTGTAAGTAATTGTACAACCTGTTTTATATTGTTTAAAATTTCTGTGGAAAACAAGTCTGACTGGGTTTCTTGCTGGTTCTTCCCAGGACAGATGCGTTTTTCCAAACCAGTGGTCAAAGTAAAAAATGACTTCCAATAAAAATAGCTTATTGAATAAAAATTAATCTGTTCTATTCTATTAGAACATAACAAAATTCTAGGTGTCATAAAACTTACTTGGCAAGTTGTTTCTCAGGTCCCTGTACAAGTGTTCCATCTCGATTGTAACGTGTGAAAACTTCGCTTTGCGCTAACAGCAGTTCCCGGGGAGGCATTTGAAGATGCTCTGCACCACCGTACTTCTCTAACACCGATTCCTTTATCTGTAGAAGAAGGTTGATATAGTTAGTTTTAACTATTTTACTTTTAAGTGTCGTCGGTAGTTGTTGTTAAGTCTCATGGTGTCAGTCATTTTAACTTAAAGTGATAGAGACAGCATGAGACTTAACGGTGTCTTAATTAAAATTGAATAGCGTTTGTGTATTTGGGCAATAAAATCATAATTTATTAATTATCTGCAAGTTTTCTGCATGCTATATTACTCTTAAGAATTTCAAGTAAGACATGTTCTTATATAGTTTCAAACAAGATGTTTATTTAACTATTATAACGTCACTTAATGGATTATTTCCCTTTCTACATTTCATTCTTATTTTTGGTTTAGTTAGTTATTTATTAAGAGGAAGTTAGTTGATATTTTTGAGGAAATTAATAAAATAAATCAATAAATACTAAGCAGAAGCTGCAGCTTGGTGGGCTCGGCCAGCAGGTGCACGTTAGTCAGTCAGTTAGTTAGTTAGCGCGTACGCAGAGCGAAAGCAAGGTACCTGCATCTTGAACTGTCGCTTGCGCTCGTCGTACTTGCGCTGCAGCAGCTGCAGCTTGGTGGGCTCGGCCAGCAGATGCACGTTAGTTAGTTAGTTAGCACATCCGCAGAACGAGGGCGAAGTACCTGCGTCTTGAGCTGTCGCTTGCGCTCGTCGTACTGGCGCTGCAGCAGCTGCAGCTTGGTGGGTTCGGCCAGCAGATGCACGTTAGTTAGTTAGTTAGCACATCCGCAGAACGAGGGCGAAGTACCTGCGTCTTGAGCTGTCGCTTGCGCTCGTCGTACTGGCGCTGCAGCAGCTGCAGCTTGGTGGGTTCGGCCAGCAGATGCACGTTAGTTAGTTAGTTAGCACATCCGCAGAACGAGGGCGAAGTACCTGCGTCTTGAGCTGTCGCTTGCGCTCGTCGTACTGGCGCTGCAGCAGCTGCAGCTTGGTAGGTTCGGCCAGCAGATGCACGTTAGTTAGTTAGTTAGCACATCCGCAGAACGAGGGCGAAGTACCTGCGTCTTGAGCTGTCGCTTGCGCTCGTCGTACTGGCGCTGCAGCAGCTGCAGCTTGGTGGGTTCGGCCAGCAGATGCACGTTAGTTAGTTAGTTAGCACATCCGCAGAACGAGGGCGAAGTACCTGCGTCTTGAGCTGTCGCTTGCGCTCGTCGTACTGGCGCTGCAGCAGCTGCAGCTTGGTAGGTTCGGCCAGCAGATGCACGTTAGTTAGTTAGTTAGCACATCCGCAGAACGAGGGCGAAGTACCTGCGTCTTGAGCTGTCGCTTGCGCTCGTCGTACTGGCGCTGCAGCAGCTGCAGCTTGGTGGGTTCGGCCAGCAGATGCACGTTAGTCAGTCAGTTAGTTAGTTAGCACATCCGCAGAACGAGGGCGAAGTACCTGCGTCTTGAGCTGTCGCTTGCGCTCGTCGTACTGGCGCTGCAGCAGCTGCAGCTTGGTGGGCTCGGCCAGCAGGTGCACGTTAGTCAGTCAGTTAGTTAGTTAGCGCGTACGCAGAGCGAAAGCAAGGTACCTGCATCTTGAACTGTCGCTTGCGCTCGTCGTACTTGCGCTGCAGCAGCTGCAGCTTGGTGGGCTCGGCCAGCAGATGCACGTTAGTTAGTTAGTTAGCACATCCGCAGAACGAGGGCGAAGTACCTGCGTCTTGAGCTGTCGCTTGCGCTCGTCGTACTGGCGCTGCAGCAGCTGCAGCTTGGTGGGTTCGGCCAGCAGATGCACGTTAGTTAGTTAGTTAGCACATCCGCAGAACGAGGGCGAAGTACCTGCGTCTTGAGCTGTCGCTTGCGCTCGTCGTACTGGCGCTGCAGCAGCTGCAGCTTGGTGGGTTCGGCCAGCAGATGCACGTTAGTTAGTTAGTTAGCACATCCGCAGAACGAGGGCGAAGTACCTGCGTCTTGAGCTGTCGCTTGCGCTCGTCGTACTGGCGCTGCAGCAGCTGCAGCTTGGTAGGTTCGGCCAGCAGATGCACGTTAGTTAGTTAGTTAGCACATCCGCAGAACGAGGGCGAAGTACCTGCGTCTTGAGCTGTCGCTTGCGCTCGTCGTACTGGCGCTGCAGCAGCTGCAGCTTGGTGGGTTCGGCCAGCAGATGCACGTTAGTTAGTTAGTTAGCACATCCGCAGAACGAGGGCGAAGTACCTGCGTCTTGAGCTGTCGCTTGCGCTCGTCGTACTGGCGCTGCAGCAGCTGCAGCTTGGTAGGTTCGGCCAGCAGATGCACGTTAGTTAGTTAGTTAGCACATCCGCAGAACGAGGGCGAAGTACCTGCGTCTTGAGCTGTCGCTTGCGCTCGTCGTACTGGCGCTGCAGCAGCTGCAGCTTGGTGGGTTCGGCCAGCAGATGCACGTTAGTTAGTTAGTTAGCACATCCGCAGAACGAGGGCGAAGTACCTGCGTCTTGAGCTGTCGCTTGCGCTCGTCGTACTGGCGCTGCAGCAGCTGCAGCTTGGTAGGTTCGGCCAGCAGATGCACGTTAGTTAGTTAGTTAGCACATCCGCAGAACGAGGGCGAAGTACCTGCGTCTTGAGCTGTCGCTTGCGCTCGTCGTACTGGCGCTGCAGCAGCTGCAGCTTGGTGGGTTCGGCCAGCAGATGCACGTTAGTTAGTTAGTTAGCACATCCGCAGAACGAGGGCGAAGTACCTGCGTCTTGAGCTGTCGCTTGCGCTCGTCGTACTGGCGCTGCAGCAGCTGCAGCTTGGTAGGTTCGGCCAGCAGATGCACGTTAGTTAGTTAGTTAGCACATCCGCAGAACGAGGGCGAAGTACCTGCGTCTTGAGCTGTCGCTTGCGCTCGTCGTACTGGCGCTGCAGCAGCTGCAGCTTGGTGGGTTCGGCCAGCAGATGCACGTTAGTTAGTTAGTTAGCACATCCGCAGAACGAGGGCGAAGTACCTGCGTCTTGAGCTGTCGCTTGCGCTCGTCGTACTGGCGCTGCAGCAGCTGCAGCTTGGTAGGTTCGGCCAGCAGATGCACGTTAGTTAGTTAGTTAGCACATCCGCAGAACGAGGGCGAAGTACCTGCGTCTTGAGCTGTCGCTTGCGCTCGTCGTACTGGCGCTGCAGCAGCTGCAGCTTGGTGGGTTCGGCCAGCAGATGCACGTTAGTTAGTTAGTTAGCACATCCGCAGAACGAGGGCGAAGTACCTGCGTCTTGAGCTGTCGCTTGCGCTCGTCGTACTGGCGCTGCAGCAGCTGCAGCTTGGTAGGTTCGGCCAGCAGATGCACGTTAGTTAGTTAGTTAGCACATCCGCAGAACGAGGGCGAAGTACCTGCGTCTTGAGCTGTCGCTTGCGCTCGTCGTACTGGCGCTGCAGCAGCTGCAGCTTGGTGGGTTCGGCCAGCAGATGCACGTTAGTTAGTTAGTTAGCACATCCGCAGAACGAGGGCGAAGTACCTGCGTCTTGAGCTGTCGCTTGCGCTCGTCGTACTGGCGCTGCAGCAGCTGCAGCTTGGTAGGTTCGGCCAGCAGATGCACGTTAGTTAGTTAGTTAGCACATCCGCAGAACGAGGGCGAAGTACCTGCGTCTTGAGCTGTCGCTTGCGCTCGTCGTACTGGCGCTGCAGCAGCTGCAGCTTGGTGGGTTCGGCCAGCAGATGCACGTTAGTTAGTTAGTTAGCACATCCGCAGAACAAGGGCGAAGTACCTGCGTCTTGAGCTGTCGCTTGCGCTCGTCGTACTGGCGCTGCAGCAGCTGCAGCTTGGTAGGTTCGGCCAGCAGATGCACGTTAGTTAGTTAGTTAGCACATCCGCAGAACGAGGGCGAAGTACCTGCGTCTTGAGCTGTCGCTTGCGCTCGTCGTACTGGCGCTGCAGCAGCTGCAGCTTGGTGGGTTCGGCCAGCAGATGCACGTTAGTTAGTTAGTTAGCACATCCGCAGAACGAGGGCGAAGTACCTGCGTCTTGAGCTGTCGCTTGCGCTCGTCGTACTGGCGCTGCAGCAGCTGCAGCTTGGTAGGTTCGGCCAGCAGATGCACGTTAGTTAGTTAGTTAGCACATCCGCAGAACGAGGGCGAAGTACCTGCGTCTTGAGCTGTCGCTTGCGCTCGTCGTACTGGCGCTGCAGCAGCTGCAGCTTGGTGGGTTCGGCCAGCAGATGCACGTTAGTTAGTTAGTTAGCACATCCGCAGAACAAGGGCGAAGTACCTGCGTCTTGAGCTGTCGCTTGCGCTCGTCGTACTGGCGCTGCAGCAGCTGCAGCTTGGTAGGTTCGGCCAGCAGATGCACGTTAGTTAGTTAGTTAGCACATCCGCAGAACGAGGGCGAAGTACCTGCGTCTTGAGCTGTCGCTTGCGCTCGTCGTACTGGCGCTGCAGCAGCTGCAGCTTGGTGGGTTCGGCCAGCAGGTGTACGTCCAGGCCTCGCGAGTGCGCCTCCCATGCGAACATCTGCGCCTCGCCATGAGCACGCGTATCGCCCGTGAACCTCACGAAGTTCTCGCCCGCATATTCAGACCTATATAATGTCAATTGTTCAATCAAAATTGAACTAATAGCTTGTTATTAATCAATTTTCTTGTGTTAGTTCAAACTTGGACCTGCAATGACTTTTTACTTATTACAAGCCAGTGCTAGAACAAAATACCGCCTGGCAGTAAGTGGTGATGATAAATCGAATCTCGAACTGTCTTAGCGTAACAAGAGCCTATTCACTCTTGTCTTTCCCTAAGATGCCCATATCTTCATTGGGTTGAATCGCTTTCTTATTGTGATCATGTGTTTTCATGTAAAATCATTCTTAAATGCATTGACATAAAGAGAAAAGTCGGTGGCAAATGAGTGAGGGTTGCGGCAGGAAGTGAACCAATTTCTAAAACCATTAAATTCAAATAGGTTCTTCTACTATGTTATAGTGTCTGCGTTATCAACTGAAGAGTCGGACAATAAATCATTGTAATCAGTGTATCTCGCTCACACTCATTGGGCTTATGGAGCGTCATAATGATGTGCGTAACAGCAGGTAGTCGATATCGATAAGATTTAATGAATGGATTTTTTAAGTTTGAAATTATAAAATAACAAACCACTATGTCATACTCTTCTCCTACTACGCGCCGTTATCATACATAGTAGATATAGTGTGTTTTAACACACTTAAAGTCGTATTTTTAATTAAACGAAGCTGTCTGACGTTTACTGGGTTGTCAGGTTTTACTTACTTACTTATCTTCACGCACAATCCCTGACGGGGTAGCCAGAGAGAACAGATCGCCAAGTGTCACGATCCTTACAAACCTCTTTCGCTTCTTTCAGATTCATTATCTTCTTCATGCATGCACGTCTAGGTATCCGAGTACTCTTGACCCTACCCTCTTCGAGCAATTTGCTCACATGGTCTTAGAAAGTTAGTCTCGGTCTACCTCGACACCTTTTAATATTAACTTTCGCGCTATATATTTTTTTCACCATTCGGTCTTCACTCATTCGCTCAACGTGCCCAAACCACCGAAGCACGCCCTCATCAATTTTTGTGATAAGGTCATCTTTCAAACCTGCCATATTGCGAATCTCTTCGTTTCGCTTTCGGTCGGCCATGGAAACGCCGCACATTTTACGAAGAGATCGCATCTCCACTGCATTTAACTTACTTTTATGCTTCTTCTGGCATACCCAGGTTTCGCTGCCATATAACAAAGTCGGTACCAACACTGCGTTATGTATTGCAAGGCGTGCACTCTTCGCTACGCCTTGCCTTTTGACTAACGCAGTCAGGGCACGATTGACTTTGTTCCCGGCAGCGACACGCCTGTCCACATCTAAATCACATCTTCCATCCCGGCTAAAAGCACTCCCCAAGTATACAATTTCATTTACCTGTTCTAGACATTCCTGATTTACCCATATTTCACACTTCGTTCTCTCTTCGTCCCTTTCAAATACCAGAACCTTAGTTTTATTAGCATTCAAACGGAGACCTTTAATTTCACATTCGTCTTTCATACACGTAACTAATGCCTGCAGTTCTGCCTCTGATGGTGCAATAAGCACTGCATCATCAGCATACAACAGACAATTTACTTTAATGTCACCCAATTTCACACCCAAACAGCTATCTTTCAGCTTCTGTAAACAGCTGTCGAGATACAGTATGAACAGCCAGGAAGACATGACACAACCCTGCTTTACGCCCGTTTGGACGCTAAACATGGGTGACAGGTCATGCCCTACCCGCACACAGGCTTTACAGTCACAGTAAAGAGACTGCACAGCCCTTAGCAATCGACCATCCACACCATACCCCGGCAACAGTTCCCACATTTTCTTCCTTACAACCTTATCAAATGCTTTCTCAAGATCCACAAAAGCACAGAAAATCTTCTGGTTAGCATCCAGAAGCTTTTCCGTGATCATGCGGAGAGAAAACATTTGATCCGTGCATCCTCTTCCAGGTCTAAATCCGCATTGTGCCTCCCATAGAAATCTTTCCGATTTCTCTTGCATCCGTTTTTGATGAATTAAAAATAGTGTTGAGACTAAATGACTGAACGGAAAACAAAATGACTGACTGATAAAGAAAACGACTGAATGGTAAAAAATATTACGTCAAGATTTATTTAAGGGACATCCATCTTGTCAGTTCATCAGACAAAAATTATCCATAGTGTATGTCGTCATAGGGATTTCATAAAAAAAAATCTTAAGTATTACATTTTTTTATTAATCTTCATCAGATATAATATCATCACTATCACTGTCACTGTCACACATTTATTATAAACTTGTCTGAGACACTATCGATCATGTGGTCGAGATTAAACATTTCGTCTTCTTCTTTTATTATGTGAGCCACGCAGCTACTCCATTTTTCGGCAGTCACTTCATTTAGTCCTACTTCGAAAAGTTTTTTTACATCTTTCATTTTGAAGGTCTTGTTGTTTCTTGCAACATAACCTTTGGCCTGCGTCCAAATCAGCTCAATGGGATTGAGCTCACAATAGTAAGGGGGCAAACGTAAAACAGTGACTCCACGCTCCGCTGCCATCTCGTCCACGGCATACTTGTCGCAGTGTTCATGTGTGTGCTGCCGTAACATGTCTATAAGAGTAGCTTTTACCATTTGTGCCTCGAATAAGATATTTTTGCTCGCCATCCACTCTTGTATTCTTGGTTTATTCCAAGACATTGTAGGCAGCGATTTTCTGGCGTGATAGGGGGCATAATCCATCACTACTACAGAATTAGGTTTTAGTTTGGGCAAAACCCCACTAAACCACTCCTCAATGCGCTCAGCATTCATTTCTTGATGGTAATCTTCTTTTCCTTTTTTAGCCTCAATCACAAGTAAGCTATCTTCTACAAATCCTTCTTCGCCATCTATATGGCTACAAATTAGCCGTTTGCCTTTTCCTGAAGACCCTTTCAAGCCGGTGGTCAACCCGTCTAAGAATGCCTGTCGGGACGATTGTACAGTCTGGTCAATCCATTGCTTCTTCGGTGTATGACCTTCGAGAAAATAAAAAAATACCAATTACTCATTAAATTCACCGGTGGTATGCAATATCTAAACTGTAATAGATAGATAAAACAGAGAAAATTTTAATTACCTTCGTTTATCCAGGTTTCATCTTGGTAATAAATGTACCTTCCTTTCCTGCGATAATCTTTAATTTTTTTCAAGGTATCGCTGGCGCTACAAAACAATATCGCGTCTCTCTATTAGTGCGCTTTTTCTTGATTTTGAGGCGTATTTGAAATTTAAGTGTTTTAAAATTTTCCTCAACGTACACCAAGAGAAGTTCGGTAAATCTGGGTCATCATTAACAACCTTAAGAATCTGTAACACATTTTTTTTCCGGTACTTTAGTAGGTAATACCGAAGCAGTTTCCTGCTCAAACACGTATTTATAGACATTGCGTACCATAAGCTTTTCGGTAACGCTAAGAGAAGCCCGTGGTCTCTTCTTTTTTGGGGAAAAAGAGTTTTTGCTCGACGTGCTTGGTTCAGATTCCATATAGTTTGTACGAAACAATATAAAAACACAATAACTCAACAATAACAAACAACACAAACACAACGTAACAAAAAACTAAACAAGAAACTAAAGAAAAGCAAAAGAACAGCGCGCAGAGAAAATATTCGAGCGATCAGACCAGAGGTTAGAAGCCGAATGAATGACACACAAACTGACTGACTGAACGCATCACTATTCCAATGAACCTGGCAACATTATTTCATAAAGTGACATTAGCATCTGTCAGGCACCTTTGTTAAATTAAAAATACGATTTTATATCAAAATTATCAATATTAGTAACTGTAGATGGTTTTTTAAAACCTTTTCTTGGATTGGCTGTGCTACCGGATTGCGATATTTCCGTTTTTATTCGATCAACTGTCGCTCTGTTAACGCCATAGATAAACGCAGCATTTTCCCGTGTTTTATTAAAAATAAGCTGCGATATTTTTTCGGGGTTACTTTGTAATTAATTTAAAAATAAAAATATATTGTGAATAACTATTCGAGTTTGCACGTTGTTTGTTAGAGAATAAATTTTCCATTATGCACAAACGCCGAGATCAAAGTGAGAAATAGAAATGAAAAAAATGTACACAAATTCAAAGAGGGTAGCTTTGATAGCCGCGATAAGGCGGACCCAGGTAGCATGTGGCGCACAGCGGTGGCTGGCACATTCCTATTGTTATTAACATTTGTAGCCCGACGACTTAGTTGATAACGCGGGCACTATATATATACGCGTGTGTGTGTGTGTGTGTGTGTGTGTGCGCGTGTGCGTGTGCGTGTGCGTGTGTGTGTGTGTGTGTGTGTGTGTGTGTGTGTTTATACTATTTTGAAAATGAAATAAATCAGTGTATTGTCTAGAAATATTTTAAAAAAAAAGTTAGTAGTACTTACTCAACTGCACCAGGATTTGGATTATCCCTCATGGAACGTGTCTTGGGATCGTAGTAAGCAGAATTTGGATCCAAATTCCTGAGGTACTTGGCGGTGTCTTCTCTAATACGTAAGTTTCGTACTGTAATCCGTTGTTTTGAGTCCACCTACACAACACAATGACTATTGTAATATTAATGTTGTACATGATGGAGCCATAGTGCAGCTATATTATATCTGTAGTACAAATAGTAGGCTCGACTGGGGAAGGACCACGCTCTCACAGAATACCAGCGTAAAATCGCATCTCAACGCTGCTGTGTTTCATATGGTGAGTGTAGAGAACCAAAGATCCTTTTTAATGGAAACGAGGCATTCCATCTTAGTCCTCACGGGTAATAACGCATCTGCATTTTAATTCGTAATCGAGGATAGATGTAGATGTCTATGGGCCACCCTTATTCTATAGAAAAAAAAACAAAGTTAGACTTTACTAAAAATAAAAAAGAGCCTTATATTTAAATATCTAGGTAAAAGCAATGCCGGTAGTTGTTGGGAGCACTAAGCTGGAGGTTGTTGACGAGTATGTTTACCTGGGACAAATAGTCCAACTAGGTAAGTCCAACTTCGACCGAGAGGTCAATCGACGGATTCAACTCGGCTGGGCAGCATTCGGAAACTACGACACATTTTCTCGTCAGACATACCTCAAAACGAAATTGTGCAACCAGTGCGTGTTGCCAGTGGTGACTTACGGATCTGAGACGTGGTCCTTCACTGCTGGCCGTATGAGGAAGCTCAAGGTCGCTTAGCGAGCTATGAAGAGGGCTATGCTCGGGGTTTCTCTGCGTGATAAACTTAGAAATGAGTATATCCGCAGTAGAACCAGAGTAACCGACATAGCCCAACGGATTAGTAAGCTGAAGTGGCAGTGGGCCGGCTATATAGCTCGAAGAACCGACAACCGATGGGGAAGAAAGGTTCTTGAGTGGCAGCCTCGTACCGGTAGGCGAAGTGTAGGGCGACCCCCCACGATATGGAGTGAAGACCTGGTAAGACATGTAGGAAGTCGATGGGTGCAAGTGGCTCAGGGCGGTGCTTTGTGGCATTCCTTGGGGGAGGCCTATGTTCAGCAGTGGACTTATGAAAGGCTGTAATGATGATGATGAATGAAGTAAAAGCAAATAGTTCTTTTCATAAATATTGCACAACTCTGATACGCTGTCCATACCATTAACTATTAGACTGCATTCCTTAAATAGCTACTCACCATACAAACAATTTAATATTATGTTACTTTCTTTGTATTAAATCGAAATCATATGAATAGGTTAATAATTATATTGATCAGGGTTGCTTGCCTACTGTGATATTAAAAATGAGCACTAAGCCTATGAACTACCATGGCTCTCATCTATTACAATCCATATATTTCAAAAACTGTCATCGTTGGATACTTACCTTTGTACCAGGCATGTCAACCTCATCTACATACTTGTCTTCATCCTCTTCTTCTTTGTCATCTCCTTCTGTAGCTGTAGGATCTAAAAATGTAAGTTAACATTCAATTAATTATCACATCTAGATCAACAGGGCAGTAATGTTCAATGTTGGATATTGGGTTCTCCATTTTAGGAACATATAATTGCCACCTTCGGCATGAAAGTTGGTAATTGTAGTACCAAATATCTCGTACCTTTAAAACTAATTATATTAATAATGCGGTAAGAGCACGACACAATGCAATAGCGGGCGCGAATCACCTTTGACATTACTAACCGTCGCCTTTCTGGATGTTTTATATCTGGCCTAAACAAGTAGCGCCATCTATCAAAAGTCATAAGATCTTTTTTCAGGACGAAATGAGGTTATGGAATTTCTTGCCACGACGCCACAGTGAATTAAATACACACTACTATCATAACTAAGTTTACTAGGTGGTAAGTAGTCATTTTTACTCTTGAAGTATATCTGATTTGGTGCCATACTCATATCTACTACCAATTGTGTGCACCAAACACTTTGCATCAGTTTGAAGAGTAAAAGAGTCAGTGTAGTTACAGGCCGTGGGATATTACAACATGATCCCCAGGGATGACAATGGATTGGTGGGTTTCTTTATTAAAGTGCTATCAATACAAGCATGTGTTAATGAGCTGAGCCGTGTTAACAACTCAAAATATAGTCTGTTTGTTAAGATAGTGTCGATACACCTGGAGGTGGACTTTTGATTTTGCAATTATTTTATTATTTTTAGTGTGTTTGTCAAATTTTTTTTTCTGAGAATAAAATGGAACACTATTTTATTCTTATGGTTATTGTAATAAAATACGAATATAAAAATAAAACCAAGCTAGGTAGCAAAGAACCTTTCACTACAGCACGTCATTTTAACATGTCAAATTCTCCTTCGAGTATATGCGGCGGCCTTTGATGTTGCGGCGAGATGTCAAGGCGGCGTGACACAAAGGCCACCATATCTAAGCGAACCGATTTTAATAAAAAACTGCATTTGCCAATCCACCTGTCAAGGGTGGCAACTTTGGTAAAATTCCCCCTATGAGGCAATCTATGTTCTATGATCTATGTTCAGTGGTGGAGTTTTATAGTGTATTTCTTTTAGCTTCTAGAATATAAAATAATCCATACCTTGTTCTAACTTCTTAGCTCTTAGTTCCCTTTTAGCCTCCTCTACTTTTTGATACTCCTCAATAATGGCTTTATGCTGTTCTGGATCGTAACCATTCCATCTGTCACGTTTACCATCATAGCTCAGGTTCAGGTTTGGTTGGTTAAACTCATCTGGTGCTATAGCAGCATTAGTGAATTTGGCCCCTATCTATAAAAAAAAATATTTTTAGAATATTCAAAAAGCACTATTGCAATGTGGTGGCAGATTAAAAGAATTTGCCATCCCATTTTATTCAGTTAAATGGAAAATCTCGGAAAAATGGCATGGTTTTTGATAGATACCTATTTCTACCGACAAATATTGTTTTGCAAAATGCTGTTGTCTGGTCTGAAGAGCATATAGCCAGTATATTTACAGTAAGTGCTCCTCGCTCAACAAATCAGCAACCTCTTTGTTTAAAGTTGGCACCAGGTGTACATAGGCCACTTACCATCTCTGCTGGACTGTTTGTTTGTTTGACATTTCAGTTTTCCAAAAAAAAGTTAGATGGTATCCCCATATAGAATTCCAATAAGAAGAACTAAAATTAAAGATGCAAGATATTTGGTATTGCAAACAACAATCTACCCCCAACTGTATATATAATGCTTTATTCATAAAAAAAACTTACTTTTCTTGGTCTCTCTAAACAATCTTTCTTTTTATGGGTCATAGCTCCACAGTTTTCACATGCACCTTTTCTGTACTTTGTTGCTAGTTTTGTCTGAAAAAAAAATTATATTATATAATATTATGGAATACACATTTTACTAAATATTTCACATCTTTTGGAAATGAATCAATCTCATCCAATTAAACAAACATGTAATGGATAATAATTAGTTTCAATATTAAATTACATATTGTTGCTATAATGCAGAAATTTGACTGACCAATGGATCTAGTGGTCATAAACATGGCTACTGATCAACAAGGTCACAGGTTTGAATCACTGACTAAGCAAAAAATCAGTCATTGTTCTTATGGTAAATAATTCTCAGTAGCAATCCAGGAGTCAGGAATTTGGTGGTGTTTTACCCCAAAGCCTCAGCAAGCATGTAAAGTCATTAATCTTATGACTGATTTCCCTCTGCTCATTTCAGATTGCCTACTTGATCAACTATGAAATTGAGGGAATATAGAGTCCACCTGTGCTTACACAGTTCAAATCTCATAGGGACATAAGTTAATCTATATAGTGTAATCCACATCAATATTTGTATCAACATTGCAAACCTAGAAAATTACCAACACATATATAAAAACCTACCATAAATCAAGATACCACTGAAAATCAGGGTGTAAATACACCCCCTTAAATCAATTCAATTCACTAATATTGTTTTATGAAAGAGAATTATTAAATTGTTCATATATCATTTAGAGATTGTTTACTTACAGTGTCAACTCCTTTATTGTAGTAAGTGTCAAGTTTAGTAAACTGTCCCTCTCTATCAGCTTGTGGACGTTGATGTTTGAGAGTAGGGCCTGACGTACCATAGTACCACGGAGCTGAAGAAATGTACTGTGGAATATGAGGGTTGATATCCTTGCCTGAAAACAGTGAATATATAATTTTTCACTATGAAAATGTTAAATAACTATTTAAGTAAAAGTTGTACTGAAGATAATGCAGAATCACTTTAGCACAGCAAATTCCTATTATAAAATGCTTTTGTAAGTAAGAAACAAAATGATATAACTTTAATACCAGTTTCGTCGACAGCCGCAGGTGCAGTACCAGCCTTTCGAGCCTCTTCTAACTCCTTAGCTTTTCTCCAGTCTTCCCTAGATTTCTTTTTTGGCTCTTCTTCCTCGTCACCAGCATCATCTTTATTTCGCAATATTTGTGATACCGCTGCACGAACATTTGTAGTCATTTTGTTGATATGATAAATGAATTATTAGTAAAAATCTTGGAAGATGTCCACGAACTATGAAAATGGAAAATAAAATACTACAAATCTGTGATAAACAATATTTTTATAATATCTACCTATATTACACTCGAGCTGACTGACACCTGACAGCTGACAACATAGATAAATAAATAATAGCTAGTGATGGTGATGGTCAACTCGAGTTGCGCTTAACTCGAGTTAGGTCGAGTTGGATCGGCTGCTGTACATGAACGGATCAAGTGAGTCAGCAATAGAGTAAGAGCGCAATTCGTTCCTTGTGTGTGCGCTTTATGTTTCAAAGAGTATATAGCTACAACCGAAACAAGTTGTTATTTAGAATTTTATAATAGCTAAGATAATTAATTGAATTTCTTTTATAATTTTGATTAATTATGATCAAGTAGTTATGTACGTCACAAACCCATTATTATTTTAAACCTGTTGAATTACCCGAAAATGATAGTAAGTTGTATAATACATCATATTTTAAATTAAAGCCAAATGTAACATAGAATTTGAAAAAAAAAATTGAATTAATTTAAGCATAGTTTGACTGTGATAATTAAATTATTAATAGCTTATATATCTTAAAGCAAGACTAATATTGTCAGGTGAAGACTGCTATGCATACTAAATACCTATACCTTTTTATTTTAATCCTACATAATAAGTTTAGTTACTATTACTCACTATCACTACAGCCTTTCATAAGTCCACTGCTGAACATAGGCCTCCCCCGAAGAATGCCACAAAGCACGGTCCTGAGCCACCTGCATCCATCAACTTCCTGCAAGTCTTACCAGGTCGTCACTCCATCTCGTGGGGAGTCGCCCTACACTTCGCCTACCGGTACGAGGCTGCCATTGAAGAACCTTTCTTCCCCATCAGTTGTCGGTTCTTCGAGCTATATGGCCGGCCCACTGCCACTTCAGCTTACTAATCCGTTGGGCTATGTCGGTTACTCTAGTCCTACTGCGGATATCCTCATTCCTAACTTTATCACGCAAAGAAACTCCAAGCATAGCCCTCTCCATAGTTCTCTGAGCGACCTTGAGCTTCCTCATACGGCGAGCAAAGAAGGACCACGTCTCAGTTCCGTAAGTAATCACTGATAACACGCACTGGTTGTACAATTTCGTTTTAAGGTTTTGAGGTATGTCTGACGAGAAGATGTGTCGTAGCTTCCCGAAAGCCCAGCCGAGTTGAATCCATCGATTGACCTCTCGGTCGAAGTTGGGACTTACCTAGTTGAACTATTTGTCCCAGGTAAACATACTCGTCAACAACTTCGAGCTTAGCGCTCCCAACAACTACCGGCATAGGTGTGACATGGACTAATGTTTAATAAGCATAATCTTTGTTTTGTCCATGTTCATCTTAAGACCTATCCGTTGAGAGACACTATTGAGGTCATTGAGCATACTGCTTAGGTCCTCCAGCGATTCTGCCATAAGGACTAAGTACGTTGGGGTAATACCGGACGGATTTTCGAATAGTTGGAAGAGTCTGCCAAAAACTTTAATTTCTCGACATTCGTATACGTCAGATTTATGGAACATGGAGCAAACCGTTAATCGTTAAACGTAGTTTAGCTCTGAGAATCTTTTGCTTGTGTAAACTCAACGGTTTCTGCTTTAAAGGTGTGCGAAAACTAGACATACTTTTTTATATGCATAATGAAAAATTGGCCATTAAGGGGTAAGACCGGACTTAAATTTAAAACCACTTCTACTGCTTAGAGAAAAAAGTTTATAAAAGAGATTTGTCCTATCTTTAACGCTAAAAAACATATTTCAATATGATCTATAAATTACTAGAAACATAAATGTTCCAAACCATTTTCTCTTTTTTTGTTTCTTGCTATCCGATCTTATCCCTGATATAAAGAAATTGTAATTTTATGTTTCTCAAACTTAGTTATGACATAAGATGGAATTACTCAATATAAGAGAAAGATCGGATGCATTTGATTTTATATGGAAAATAACAGTAAGGACTGGCGAAATGCCCTGGGATAATGCAGGAGTTAAGGAAGATATAAATAGTTTAACAAAGCGGCATTTATTATTATAAATTATTTTTTAAATAATTATTATAAATTACATTTTGATTTGTAATAGAGGATAGATATAGATGTCTATGGGCCGCAGCAATCACTTAATATCAGGTGGACTGTGTGCTCCTTTGTCACCCTTATCCTACAAAAAAAAAGTATTTTAATGTGTACTTAAAAGTAATAAAACCATCGTATTGTTTTATTACTTTTAAATATACAGACTTGCTAACGAGACTGAGTCCCATAGTCACTTGAGTAATCAACGAAAAAATATACACGACCAATGAAAGTTTAACAACCACTGCCATATTTGTAACAGGCAAAGATCGGATAATATTCATCCGATCTTCACTCACGAGGGGAAACATCGGATCTCGGCCTACAGCGATCTTACCCTTGCATGGACCAGCTTTATTTAGCTATAACTTCATAAAAATTAGTATCCACACAAAATAATAACAAAAGAAGCCGTATTCTCGCTAAAAATCGTAAATAAAAGTGATAGGGAAAGATCGGATGGACAAAAATAATACAAAAATTACATTGTTTTATAAAATGCTACGCAGCACAGGTCCCACTTGCCGGAGTGACTGGCGCGAACTGAGGGTCGGGGCAGGATGAAATGGCGTCGTGTAGCATATTGTTAGCTTTTCAAAATATAGCATAATTCGCCGGGAATTTGAATCCTACGGTCTTGCCCCATCACCGATCTTACCCCAACGTACCTTATATCGTCGGCAAATCGAAGGTGAGTGATGTATTTGCCATTGATGTTAATACCGTATCCATTCCAGTCCAGAAGCTTGAAAACGACTTCCAATACAGCGGTGAAGAGTTTCGGAGATAACGTCACCCTGTCTTACACCTCTCTGCAATTGGATAGGTTTCGTACTCTGGTTCTGTACTCGGATAGCCATCGTAGCTCTACTATACAAGCACTTCAGCACTTCGATATAACGACAGTCAACTTGGCATCGCTGAAGGGACTGCAGCACCGCCCACATTTCGACGGAATCAAAGGCTTTCTCATAGTCCACATACCATATGTGTAACAGCAAAAACCGTCACGTGGCTCTACCATATATATATAGATATATATATATTTATATAATATTTTTTATATTTACTGCAAATTAGTAGGCTGGAGTATGGGGAGGGGGGGTGAGCTCGCAGCATTAACGTAGCCCCTTCGCACACGGCATCGTATCGTAAGCGTATCGTAATACGCGCGTAGGACGAGAGCAATACGAGCGGGTACATGTTCAAACAAGTCCGCACACGAAGCGGTGCTGAAGCGAATCGTAGGAGATTTTTATTGATATTACGATAGTCGTAGTGCACTAGCGTAAAAAAGCAAGCGTAAAAAATTAACTCTTCATTAATTTCTTTAAAAGTTTAACTGAATTTTAATTTTTTTCACTTATTACGACTTTTAATTTCAATGGGTATGAATAGGACTACAAAATTCATTGAATTCGTGAAACTGGGTAAAGCGTTCCCTTGTCTATATAATCATTCATTAAGTGAATATTCAAGGAAAGATGTAACGGATAAAGCTTGGGCAGTAATATCGTCATAAATATCGCTTTCTACTTCTTACATAATCAAACAATAAAAAATCCTCATCATATAAAGAAAAAGTAAGATAATCTATAAATTCACCCTACACATCTGGTACCGTTGACGCCATGGTTTCACAAAACCGAAAGATCTTACAAAATGATACGTCTACTCGACGATTCGTTTGTAGAACACTGCAGGTCTCGTACGCGTTGCGTCGTAACGATACGCCTATGCTTACGACTCGTGTATGAAGAGCCTTAGAATATACTGGCGTATCTAAGTCTATGGCTCGCAATGTATATTGGCGACGACCTAAGTCTATGGCCTACTTACAAGTCTGACAATGTGACAATGACAGATAGTAGGGATGGGCAAAGTGATCGTATCTATATTTTGAAACAGTATCGATATATATCGCGTGATAAATATCGTTATTACGTCACCATTTGAATGATGTAAAGATAAGGTCCAAAATTTTATCTATTGACAGTTGGACAACGAAGACAACGATACAACCATTTTAAAATATATCGAAATTGATACGATACTTTTGAGGGAGATGAGTGAGTTGGGGACTCATTGCCAGGCTTTCGCGGACGATGTGGTCCTGATATTCGCCGGGGATACAACAAAACAGGTGCAGGAACAGGCCAATGTGACTCTTGCTGCTTTCGCTCAACGGCGAAATTGATACGAATTCGATACTCTAAAATAAATATCGATATGTCGATATATCGCAATTTAAAATATCGACGATATATATTGATATGTTTATTAAATAATATCGATATTTCGATATATCGATATTTATATCCATGCCTAACAGAGAGCAGAGACTGTCAAAACAAATGTCTAATCGAACAGTTATATTTGTATTTGATTTTATTAATTTTGCAATAGGTGCCGTTGTTTCTTATAGAAATTGAAATAAATTTAATATGCATTATAAAGTTTGCCAAATATGTGGTTTAAGAAGTGGAAAAAGTAATAACAAGAAAAGGCTATTCATGGCGAAATTTCCCTTAGATGATGAAAGGTAGGTGATGATTTCCACTTTAATTGTAGTGAATTGGTGGATTATGGCCCAGAAATAAGAATGAAATTAGGCATGATCTGGTTTAATTACTTCACGTTCTTACGACCTATGAGGTGTCACATCACATTATGTTTGCCATGTAATTTAACAACCAACAATACTAATTATGATCTGGTTTAATTTCATTAATATGGTATCACTTCACGTTCTTACGACCTATGAGTAGACGTGGGCCGTAACGTCTTTTGGAAATAATTGGTTGTACGTAGTTTCGTGGATATGAGTAACTAGTTTCAAAACTGCTTATTTTTGTAACTAGTTACTTCTGTATACAGCATATCATTGTACGTGTTTAGTTTCGCGTTTGTATTATGTTACGATTACGAAATTATTAACAGTTTATAGGTATTATAATATGTATGCTATGCGTACTATTTGACTATAAAGGTAATTTTGTCAATTGAATTTACCTTCATACTTTTCTAGGCTTAGGACTGGCTGCAAAATTTCCTTTTTAAAGTTATTTTTGTGAATTTTTCTACTACAGAATGCAGGTGTATTTAGAAGTTCATTTGATTTTATGTAGTTTTTTTTTCTATTTAGAGTTTACGCATATTTTGCAGTTTGATTAAAATATTTAAACTTTGAATCGGTTTGGATCCAAATTTACATTTAAATAAGTTAGTTGGGCCATTTTATTTGTTTCCAATTTCTTTAAAAAAGCATTATCATAATGAACCTTAACTCTTTCCAATTGCATATGAATTCGTATGAGCCTTTGCATTTTAAAAAAGACGCACCAATTACAATATTGCCATCTCTTTTTATCTTGCGTGTAAGCCATACCTATCCCGAAGGGACTATTTACTCTTGCTGTGCGAGTCGTATATCGTATTACGTACCCATAATCATTTCTCAATAATAATCTGTTCAAAACGAAACGCATACGCGTGTGCCGGTCGTTATATGAGTGTCAACTGCGTACGTAAAATAATTGTTACATTTTTGTCCACGAAACTGGGTATAAGATTATCAGCCTCGTAAGCAGTTTCTGAAACTGATTACGTTAAATAACGTTTACCTCGTTTACGTTTAAGTGTTGAATCACATTATGTTTGCCATGTAATTTAACAACCAACGAAGTCATTATGATCTGGTTTAATTTCATTAATATGGTATCACTTCACATTCTTATGACCTATGAGAATTGTCACATCACATTATGTTTGCCATGTAATTTAACAACCAACGAAGTAATTATTTGTGGTAATAGACAGATATACTTACAAACTATATTGTCAATCGGAGCTGCTTACGTTCTATTCGTAAAATAAAAATATTTTAGTATTATTTATGTTATTTTTTCAGATGCAAGCAATGGGTTAAATTAGTTGGAAAAGAAGACCTGGCACATGTACCAATTGAAAAACTTCACACCCTTAAGTTTATTTGTGGCAAACATTTTAAGTCCAAAGATTTTAAAAGAAAGAAAACCCAATTAAAACGAACCGCAATTCCATCCGTTGACTTAAGGCTTCCACAATTATCTGATGATGTTTTAATTGAATTTCCGCTACATATAGCAAAAGAAAATATTCCTCTCAAGTCTCATTTTAGTAAGAATTCTATTACATAACAAAACTCAAGTTTTTTGTAATTACTTAAATATAAATGTTTACTTTTTTTTAGATTCATCTACAAACATTACTTTGGAACACAATTACTGTAAATTATATGCAGTAGATTTCACTTATAACAAAGATGAAAGGAGCGATGTAATTTCGTCGCTATATCGGGAAGTTGCTATATCCACAGGTAAGGAGTAAGGGGACAGGAGGATATTTTGCAGTCAAAGATTTTTTTTCATAGCATTGTATAATTTCAGAGCGGTTTTTCCACATTGTTGAGACTGTAGAATGTGAAACATTTAATTCTTTGCACATGTTAATATTGTTTCACTAATCTCAACCCTTGAAATAATATCTACTTTTTCTTTAACCGTAAACATTATTCTAACAGGTGCCATGATGAACAAATGATCTAACATCCCAAAAATTACTAAATAACCAATTTTAAGGGTATTATCACATCTGCCGTCTGTTTGGGATTATGAACAAGAGATAAGAAAGCTTAATGACTATAAATGAACCTTTGTGTATTTGTTTGTTGACTCGTTCATTGAGTATAGACTCGGTCCTAATACCTGCAAGAGATTTTTTGTACATGGTAGAGCCATGCTGCAGCTATATTAGTGGTATAGTTGTAGCACGAATGGGTCATTTCGACCGGGGAGGGACCATGCTCTCACAGAATACCAGCGTAAAATAGCAGGTTAACGCTGCTGTGTTTTGTATGGTGAGCGTAGAGAACCGGAGACCCTTTTTACTGGACAAGAGGCATTCCATCTTAGTCCTCATGGGTGACAACGCATCTGTATTTTGAGTCTTTATTGTGGATAGATGTAGATGTCTATGGGTCGTAGTAACCACTTACCATCAGGTGGACTGTGTGTTCGTTTGTCACCCTATCCTATAAAAAAAAAAGATTTCAGGAACTTTCTTATGAATGACTCATTAAAACTGGTTGCTTTACCCGAAATTGTTGTAATATCCGAAGTCGCCATAACTTAACCATTCTCCATTAAAAGTATAGGTTAAATTCAAGGGACTTCAAAGAAACGTCGTTATAACCGAAAAGTCGTTAAAACCATAGTCATTGTTAATGAAATCCACTGTACAAGCCACAAGAGACCCCATAGTTCATGTGAGAAAATATTTACAGAACATTATATTGCATTATATTCATTTTGTTTAATTTCACGGTTGGTTACTCAGGACTTAAGCACTCACTGTGAATTCACAGTATGCAGGCATTCCGGGTTCGACCTCCACTGGCATCCAATAAATTTGTTAAATGCAACTTTAAGTACTCATTTATAACGTGTTTTGTAATCAGATGAAAGTTTCCAACCTCAAAATTTTGTATTCATATTAGAAAAAATGTATTATTGATATTTCTAGAATTAAATGTTGCTAAACATAGTGATTATATTCTCTTTGGTTGTTGTAAAGATTTATAGATTTATTTTGCGTAGCAGCAGTAGACTTTATTATTAGCATAAGATTTCAGATGAGGTGAAATTCTTAGCAAGCGGGAAGTTAACTTGTTCGAAAAATGTAAGGGCTAATGTTTCTATGTGAAATATTTGACATTAATTAGATTAGAAATGACAATGTAGCTGTGCTACCACTGCGAGTAATAAGTTCTGAATTAGAACTCGCAGTCGATGAGTGATAAGGTATACATATGGTTGTTGAGTCTGTGGTTGAAGAGCCGTGGTAGCTCGAATAGTTAGCGCTCACTGTAAAATTCATAGTACACAACTCACCCGGATGATTTGATCCCGCCGGCACCAATTGCAATTTAAAGCGTGTTTCGTTGATTTTAACGCGTATATTAACTTATTTTAAATTCCCAACGTTTCGAGCACTTTCCAGCACCCATGGTCACGGGGGGGGACTGAGGTGTATGAGGTCCCAATGTCATAGTTAACCACGGCTACCTCCAGATTAAAAATTATAAATTTTTGTTCCGATCAACGCAGCATGAACTAACAGTATCTTGAAGTCTTACAGTTGTATGCTTGGCTTGGGATTTAATTTTATTAAGCCAGATGGTAGTCCCAGCCATCTTCTCTATAGAAATTAGGATGTTTTTTGATTTCAACAGCCTCGCGAATCATCCTTGGAAGGAATCGGTGTTCTTTAGCGAGGATTTGTGGTCTATCAAATCTAATGTAGTGACGGGGGTGATCCTGTACGTGTTCACAGACTGCAGACTTCCCGGAGCGTCGATTCTTCACATCAGCTATGTGTTCTTTAACGCGGGTTTTTATGGATCTTTTAGTTTGTCCTATATAAGAGAGACCACATTCACAATGAAGCTTGTACACTCCTGCATCTTGCAGAGGGACATTACACTTGACTGATGGTAAAACCTGACTAATCTTCTTCGGCGGCTTGAAGTATGTTTTAATGGAAGCACGCTTCAAGATGTATCCAGTCTTGTCAGTGCCACCTCTGACAAATAATGGCAGTACAGCAGGCACTCGCTCGACTGTGGCCGGCTTCACTCGTTCACTGTGACGTAGGCGCGGGCCCCGAAGCTTACTGTCGTGCAAAACTTGCTTGACGTGTTGGAGCTCGGCGGCCAGGTGTTTACTGTCACAGATCCCTCGTGCTCTCTGAAACAAAGATTTACCCATGGTAGCTAACTGTGAAGGATTATGATGAGAATCACCATTTAAATATCTATCTGTATGGGTCTTTTTTCTATATACAGTGTGGCTCAAGGTGTTATCAGGATTCCGAATTACTAACACATCTAGAAAAGCTAAAGAATTGTTTGCCTCTAACTCCATTGTGAATTGAATTTTAGAATTTATGGAGTTAAGATGGTCTAAAAATGCAGATACTTTATCTAAAGGTGAAAGTGTCATCTACTTCTTGTAGAATCTTGGGTTTACGGGATCTATATATCTACTGTGGATATTATATCCACTGGTGTGTCCATGCTCGAAGGGTGGATAAAACTAAGCGAAGGGATAAACATTTTCTACTTTCCCCGGGGATAAAATTGTCTCCTGCCCATGCCAGTCCTGCTAATGTTAAGAAGTACACATTATTCACAACAAGAAAACAAACCATTTAGTTTGAATCTGTGTTATGTAGACAATTAAGAGTTTAGTTTACAGCTGGCTATTTTCCGCAACAGGGGTGTCACTTCCACTATGGAAGGTATGGAGCACTCCATACCTCAAGTTTTTCAAGGTATGGAATTCCATAGCTGAAATTAGGAAATAAATCGCATATTACTACAAACCCCATATAAATAAATCGCAAGCCCTTAAACCTCAATACCCCACATCTTATAGTTCAATAAATAAGTTGAGTATATACACTGCAAACTCTTAAACCTTAATACCCCACGAGTAATGCGAACAAATTTGAAAATCGCGCCACCATTTTCCATACCTCAGATTTTTACAAAGTGACACGCCTGTTCCGCAACCCTACGTCTAAGCACGTATTTTGCGTGTGTGCAGGAATATTATGATTATTCGATCCATGAAATCTCCCTAAAAAAATTCAGCAGTAATTGATGTTGCGAGCAGCTTCGGGGAGTGATCCCGGCGACCCGAGATATTTAGCCCTGAATGTAACTCCGGACATGCCAGCGACACGTGGGCCGCAGTTTCCTCCTCTCCCATACATGCCCTGCACTGGGGACTATCTGTAACACCTATAGTAAATAAATGTTTGTTAAAAGAGCCATGTCCTGTAATGGCACTTGTTGCTATCCTGATCTGTGGCTTGTTCAGTCTCATTAGAACCTTGGTTAAACGACTGTTTATTTCTGGCAGGGCCTTTCTAGCTTGCCTACAGTCAACTAGTTTTTTCCAAAGCTGAGCGTGTTGATTACTGAAGTTTTTACGTATCAGCGAACGAACGTTACGAAAAGGGATCGGAATGATCGGTTCCGGCCCTATGACGGAGCTGTGTCTCGCCAGCAACGCAAAGTCAGGAATTTGCATTTAGAAAAACCCAAAATTAGGGGCTTTTTAGGTGTTAATCGTAAATTAGGTGCTCTAAAATTTTCACCGCAACGAACTGTTAAAATTTGCGTTGCTAGCAAAAAGTTAGGCTAGCAACGCAATGAAGTTATTAGATATACGACTCACTTTGCGTCGTTGGCCCTGGATCCACTGTGTCCCTGGATACATTTCAGAGTCACATTGTTGTGCTTACATACCTCATTTAGTGGTTGATGGCATTCATATATTAGTCCCGAGTTCACACCACATTGCAACTTAGAGCTTGTAGTACCGCCATCCTGTCGGTCAGTATTTTAAAGAAGTCTTTTACCTTCCTGGCATCTATTGCTATGGCCGCTTGGATGATACCCATACCTTGTCCCTGAAAGACTGTGTTGTGGGTATCCAGCGGTGTACATACGTGGATATTGAGGTCTTCCTAGAAAGTTCCAGATCCTGCACCTTCATTTGTTTTAAAACCATCAGTGAAAATTCTAAGCTCTTTTGGGTTTAATCCCAACGGCTGGTTAGTTTCATTTAATTTTTTATAGGAGAGGGGGCAAACGAGCATGCGGCTCACCTGATGGTAAGTGACTACCGTCGCCCATGAACAACTGCAACACCAGGGGAATTGCAGATGCGTTGCCGGCCTTTTGAAAAGGAGTGTGCTCTTTTATTGAAGATCCCTAAGTCGTATCGGTCCGAAAAAATCGCTGATGGTAATCGATTCCACAAGGAAGATGTGCGAGGAGGAGAACTTCTAAATCGCACAGTGGTGAACGGCCAATCATTCAGGTGGTATGGATGGTATCGCGAGTTTTGTTGCGATGTGCGACGGTGAAAATGAGCGGCTGGAATTAATCCGAACAATTTCTCAGAGCACTCCTTGTGGTAGATGCGATAAAATACGCAAAGAGATGCAACATACGCAATGCCAGTGAGTCAAGCCGATCGGAAAGAACTCGGTCGTCGACGATTGGAATCGCTCTGCGCTGGATGCGGTCAAGTGGAAGCAGCTGGCACTGGGGAGCCCCTGCCCAGAGATGGGAACGGTATTCCATGTGGGGCCGAACCTGCGCCTTATAAAGTTGCAAGCAGTGTGCCGGCATGAAATAAATGAATTGTATCTTATATTTCTTATCAAACACAAATTGTTTAAGGATCTTATCGTACTTGACTTGTAAGTAAATTCCATCGACTGTACCTGCATGAAGGACTCTAT